CTGGATTAAGAAATTGGAGCTTCGACGTCAGCGGAGAAGTTCGAGATAAGAAGCTCAAGGGGCAGTCGAGGATCGGGATTCCCTGGACGCTGTTATGGAGCTGACACGAAGAAAGCTGCGACACATAGGCGGGTGCTTATTCTACATCCGTGATCTATCGATGAGTACTAAGACAGATGCAGGTGCTCGATCCAAAGGCCTTGAAAAATTCTCCTGCTGCATGAAAAGCAATGATTTTTTTCGTCTTGCGCTATCGCGCCGCGAAAAATTTGTCTGGGGAAACGAACATCAGAGGTGGCAGAAAACAGGCAAGCGTGTGGAATTGCTGCATGCTTTAACGCTTCTGGGCCACCGCCTTTAGACACTCCTCCACACTGGGTAGGCTGCATCTCCGCTCTTCATGGCGACCGCCATCCACGGCCATGCGTAGGATAAAAATTCTTTGGCCATGGCCCTTGCGTCACGTCGAACATTGTCGATCTGTTGGATGTCTGTGTTGTGACAAGCATTTACGAAACAATAATTTTATTTTTTTTTCCATTCAACCCCCATCTAAGCTAGAAAGGCCGTTTTGGCAGCCCACGTCGCGGACCAAAGATCTTGTCGGCGGCGTCCTTCTCCCGTCGCATCCCTCGTCTAATCATTGATCTTGGTGTAGTTTGCTGGGAACAGCCCGGACTGACCATTGTACTCGCCGTGCCACCAGTCCTCGTCAGGGAATGTCTACATAGAAATGCATAAGCGGGCATCGAGATGCGAGAGGAGAGTGACTATCACTTACCACGTTGCTGATAATTGCGTTCTCGGGAAAGGATAATTCGTTATCTTCAGCAGCTTCGTAGTCGTAGAGTGCTGTTGCCGTCGCGCCTTTGGCCTGCGCTGCTGCTGGCGCTGGCGCTGGGGGGGTCGGCTCGGCCGCTGCAGGAGCCGATGGAGGAGCCGGAGCGGCGGTCTCATCGTCGTCCAAGACGGTCAGGTAGTTGCTTGGCACAAGTCCAGTCTTGGTTCTTGTTAGCACTTGCAGTCCTCCATCTCACTACGTCTCAGCTTACCTGTCCAGCCTCATTCTTGACTAGCCACCAGTCTGGATCGATTCGCTGGACGTCTGTCACCAATTCACCTAGAGCAGTCAGTGGTTGTTATCTGCTACACGGAATGGACAAAATACCTTCGCGTAGCGACACTTCGTTGTCTTCGGCCGCCTCGTAGTCGTATTCAGCTCGAGCCCGCTCACCTCCACCTGCAGCAGCGGGGGTGGGAGCAGACTCCACGGCCGCAGCGCCCAGAGTCGTGGCCGCTGCTGTGACCGCTGCGGCTCTTCCCGGATCGGGCCCACGGGCAGGTTCATCATCCTCCTCTTGCCGGGCTAGAGTGGGAATCGCCCGTGCGAGGGAGGTCGTTGGCATGGTGGGCGGCGGAGATAATTGCTCTTCATGTGCGTCGGCTACATGAGCCGAAGCACTGACTGGCACAGCCACGCGAATGGGAGATGGAGGCTCCTCCTCTTCATCAGGTGTGGGACTTCGGGGTTGTGCAGGCGGCGGTGGAAACGCAGGCGCACTCTCTTCCCTGGGTTGAGAAGCTGGCAATCCGGGAATCGGGATCCCACGATTGGGCTTATTGCTTGTATCCGGTTCAGGAGCCGGCGGCGGTGCTCGATCGAAAGTCGCAGGGGCCCCCATTGGTGGCGCTCCGCTGAAGCGATCCCGAATTGAGCTGATACCTCCGGCTGGCGAACTGGGAGTCTCGTCTTCCTCAGCCGGGCCCGTACCTTCGCCGGTGTTTTGCTGGCCAATGCTGCTTCGGCCAGTATGGCTGGTCTGCACTGGTGCCCACGATTTGCCCGTGTAGCTGCTCTTCCACCCAGCATCGCCACTCGTTTGGTTTGTAAGGGGAGGCCGCCCATCATAGGCCGTTGGCGACACTGGCGGCTCACCTGACGCACTCAAGCCCCTCTCGCGAGCTTTCTTCTCCGCCCAAATCTGAGCAGGCGTCTTCCCACCCTGGTCGGCGAAGGTTCTACTGGCCGTGCCAACGGGTGCAGCGGTGGCCAATGGTTTCGCTTCGAAGCCGCCTGGGACCGGCGCTTTGGTGCCCGTAAAAGACGACCCACCACCAAATTTATTAGCAACTTTTGGTTTAGGAAGCGACGTCAGGCGTTCGGGTCCTTGTGAGAAAGCTGCTGATCTTTCTGCCAACGATCTTGAAGGCGTGTCTGTTTCTTCCGAAGGACCAGTGGACGGGCTCGACACGGGCAGCGGCCGAGAAAAGCCAGTAGAGTCATCCGGTTTTTGGGCTTTGGCACGGATAGCTGCGATGTCGACCTTGCCGATGGGTTCGTAAGCACCTTTCACGATGGCCGGTCGGTCATCCTTCAGGGTACCCGATTCTTGCGCCTGCCGACGGATAGCCGCGATGTCCACCTTACCCACGGGCTGGTATGCACCTTTAACCACTCCAGGTCGATCGTCTGCCTCACTGCTAGAAAAGGTGGAGGATGTTGGCTTTTGTGATGTAAGCTCTCTCATATCGACTCTTGTTGGCTGATATGCCGGGGCGACTTTTTCCAACTGAGTTCTTGTTACAGGGGGAGCGTCAGCCCCCCAACCATCCTCATCTACATTGGAGCTCTTCTGCGGAAGATTGCGGGAGACAGGGTTGTAGCCGGAAGATATACCGCTGCTGTGTGTAGGGGTAAAGACAGGCTTAGACGCAACGGTAGGTTTGGTAGCAGCGACTGGAGGAGGGGCGGCCGCAGCGGAAGTGCTGGAGGAGTACTTGGAGCCAGAAGCATCAGCGACCTTTTGGATGATGCCGTCAGGTGTGAGGTCTCGATCTGACCTAGCGGTGATCTGGACGTGGTAGCCATGCAATAATTTGGCGACCGTAGTCAAGTGGCTCGTGAAATAGCCTTTCGTCCGCTCGGGGACGCCCTCGCCGCACCAAGCGATGAGGGCACACTTTGGCAGCCCAGTGTTGGAGTCTTTGACCTTGACAAACGCAAACTGAATCCGCCCGTCTGAAAACTCATCGATCAAGTCCACGAGCTCTCCTTCCCCTGTGCTCTGGACCTTCAACACGCTTTCTTTATTGCTCGAGTCTTGGAACGCATTTGCTAAGGGAGCCGACACAGAAAAAACCGCCCATTGGCCGTACGTGGGGGAGGCTGCGGCAGGTCCGCTAGGAGGGGGAGCATTGACAACGGATTGGTAGCTCTTCGAAATTGAGGGGCCGTTCGTCGAGGTATTGAGGGAGGCCATGGCCTGCTGTAACGAAGGTCGTGGTCGACCTGGAACGCCTGTTTACGACTGCTTCCCCGCTGGTGGAATTAGGCGGAATCTTGTGTATGCTGGACCTCTTCAATGTATGCCTAAGTGGGAGAGACTCACTCCAAGAGCAGAATCCGTTTGGTGCAGTTGCTGTCAAAGAGCTGTGGATGAAGGCACAAAATGCAAGGTAGCTTACTCTGCCTGCGCGGTTGGTGGCATTGGAGTTGGAGTCCTTCAGCTCGACAGTTCCCGCCGCGCAATGCTTAGTACCGATTACTCCGTCCTGATGATTGCATTTGCCAAGCCGCTAGCGGGCTGGACCATGTCATGTGACTCGCCAGGCTGCACTTGCCTCTTCTCATACCTTAACTGCGCCCTCCTCATTTCGACTTCACGTCTCCTCACAACGAGCGCTCTCACCACCACCTTTCCACTTCGACATCAACACAGCGTTACTCCCATCCATCGCCGAGCGCTCTCGCGACCATTGCAGGCTATTATCTTTGGTGTACTTACCGCTTTTGACGTCCCTGGAGCATTCGAGCCTATGCCCCCTCCAGCCCGACTGAAGATCTGTCAATCCAAGCTGTCCACGGATTCCCTTGGTCGGCCGCATAACAATCACCCGGCCGACCTCAGCTGCTCTTTCTCGCGAAAGCGTGTTGCAGGAACACACGATTGCTAGCTGGTGCTGCATCTGACGCCGGAATCGACACCACCGGACAATCCAGGCGCACCAGACACGGCCTCTGCCTGTCACAATCCGCACACTTTGCTGTCGAGCACACGTTCTGCGTTGCTCGACATGCTTTCCTTGTCTTTCTCGTCAGAACTAAGCCGGCTAGCACACTTGGCTACCGGCTCTAGGCTCTGACTTCTCTCTTTCTGTATCTTTCATTATATCTACCATTTCCTTTGTGTGTGCAAATGATCCTTAGCGGCCCTCGCCATGGATCTCAGGGATGATTCGGTTTCCGCGCCTCTCCCAGGCTCGCGAAAGAGACTGCGGTCTCCAGAGTTGGGAAACAATTCTTCCTCATTTGAGGCTATCCCATTGCGTCTGGACCACCACCCAACAGGCGTACCACACCCAGTCGACATGAAGAGAAAACGGCCAAGACTTTCCGGCTTCATTGGCGCTGTGGACTCCCCAATGGAATCAAAAGATGATTCCATGCGAAGTTTGTTGACGCTGATGGATCTACCTCCCGAAATCCTACAATACGTCTTCACTTTCGCTGACCCCATCACTCTTGGGCGGTTGATTTGTGTCAATCGTACATTCCGTTCCCTTCTAGATCCCACGTGTCCTCTGCCCCCGAAATCTGCGTCTAGCAAGATAAAGCATTTGTCCGTACAGAAGCAGGACTCGATTTGGACCAATTCACGCAAGACGTTTCTCCACGGATTCCCGAAGCCTATGGATGCAATGACCGAGCTAGATATGTGGAGACTTGTCCGTGGCCATTCATGCCAATACTGTGGGAAGAAGGCCACCCAGCAACTGTCTTACTCGACATCCAATCCCTGGAATGCCGGACCTGGTTTGGACAACGTTCGCTCCATTTGGCCTTTTCGTGTGAAATCATGTGGCCGTTGTCTCCAGCCCAGGCTTGTGAAGGTGAGTCTCCTAGGAGCCGTAATCCCTATTCACTGTTTAATTACTTGCAGGACACAGAATTGGCCTTTTCGAGCAGTTCGGCTTTACGTTCTGGGCTACCCTTCGCGATCATGACGCAGGACATGAATTATATTCCATCCTCAGCCATTCTGCAGAAGGCCCCGCCTCCACACCTTGAGCTTATCAAGTACTACTTCCGACCTCAACTTGAAGAGCTTGAAAAAAGATTCCACAGCGTTGAGGCCTTGGGAGCTGCCACACTTGGTGAATGGAAAAAGGGCCTCGAAACTGCTGGACGAGAGAGGAACGCGGACGCAACTCGGTTCGAGCAATGGGAGCTTCACGGTGGCTTCTCCAGGATCCCCATGACGCTAGGCCACAAAGAGACCGCCGGGCGTGCTAATCTAGGAACTCTATCGAGTCAAGAGCACACTTTGGCAAAGATTGACCGCATGCAGCAAATTGATTTGCGTTCTGGCGCAGGAACACCATCCTCAGGATACGTTGCCTTGGAGTCGTCTATATCTGGCTCAATTTCTGGCGGTAGGCATCATCAGTCCTCTTTCTTTTCTTGCATGCGTCAAACCTTCCAGGGGACACGCAGTTTCGGCATCAGAGCTAACCCTGTCCCACGCAGAATCCCAGCACACAGCTGGCAAGTTGTCCACCAACTCGCGGCCTGACCCATCTAGAACTACCGAAGTATCTCCTATTCAGGATCCTCAGGGCCAAATCGCTTTTCGACAACCTCGTCAAAGAACCGAACGTAGTCTCAAGGAAGCAAAAGCGGCCAGAGCAGAACGTCGCAAAGAGATTGAGAGGCGCTGCCTGGCTCTAAGCCCTCCCATCATGCCTACTACTCTGACCTACATGGATGCTTTCCAAGCTGCGATTCTAATATCCCTACCTCTTGATGACAAGGGCTGGGAAGTGCTCAGACCACGTCTCTTGGCCCAACGCGCGGATGCCGCACAACGCGAGCTCAGGGCTGCCTATAGCGGTCCGTCTGTGGAACAAGCCAAGCGCCAACAAGTGGAGGAAGAACAGCGCGTTGCTCAGGAAAACACCACTCACATGTGGCTTGGGCTGAAAGTTCCAAGCCGCGAGAAGCTTAGAAAATTTGCTGATGAATTCATACATCTGACCTGGTCGGATGGTCGCGCTGTGACAAAGGCCACGGCAAGTAAGTTCGCAGCAGAGGTTCTCTGCCACATACGACACCGCTTTGACGAGGCCATTGCCCAAGAAGACCACATGCTTTCCCTGAAAGGCACCGCTTTCCCACAAGATCCGGAGTCCTTAGCTTGCAGGAAATTGAACTTGCTGGATATGAAGTGGGCTTTTACAGAATTCGTGCAACCGCACACCCAGCGCTTCGGGAATTACCTCTTCCTGTGCCACGTCTGCGACACCAATCAGAAACTATTCGCGTTCGAGGCTATAATTCAGCACTTCGCTTCCAAACATACCAACGCATTCAGCCGCGGCAACAGCATCGTTTTCTGGGAGGCCGACTGGCCCATCGAGCCTCCATTCGATCCGCATCCGAACCTTCTTTGGGCCCTCGGAACAACTAGCAGTGATCCCAAGGGTCAAACGCTTCAACTTTCGCAATCAAACCTCCCGCGTGGCTTGCCACCATCAGGTGAGAAGGAGCTTGGACCTGTGAATCCAGTTGGACATAACTTCGCACCTCACACCGTGCCAACCAGCTACCAAACCTTGTCGAGCTATAATCCGGGCAACGTGGACCACTTCACTGCCGGATTTGGTAATGGAGCTGGAGCAGAGACCTTTACGCGATCGTCTATAGCTAGGTCCGAGGCTTCGGGGATTGCCATGGAAGATGAACACGATCCTCGATATCACACTGGCTGGGTGCCACATAGGGCCTTGACAGGGGCAACATATCGCCGAGACTCCTTCAGAAGCGGAGGGCTTGGCCAGCGGACAGGACCACACCACCTCGCGAGTGAAGGGGTGCGTTGGGATCATATTCGGGACCATCATGGTTCACGTGACTTGGAACCTTGGAGAGAACAGCCACTTTCCCAGAGCTCCATGGTCTATTCGTATGAAGATTCCTCGTCCAGGTTTTCATATGGTGGGTCACTTTCACGAGTGCGTGGACCGAGGTCTGAAACTGGAGGAGAAAGTAGAGCTACCAGTCATATCTCTGGTCATAGAGAGAAAGGCTCGGAGCCAGGAGCCTCCTCCCATCAGCCGGATACCTCGAGACTAGACGTCGATCAGAACGCGACCGAGAATGCCGTGGATGATCTCCTGGACAGCTTGGAGCCCATGGTTTCCGGAGGCACCTCGAGGAATGCCAATGCCCGCGCCGATATCTTGCGCCCTCCTGCATACCAAATGCGTCCCAGCACGGCCTTGTCGGGTCAAGTCGGGGAGTCAACCCTGCAGCACCAGAGCTGGGACACATTCAGCAGTGTTTCCGGAAGCCATGTTCCTCCTATCCCGCCTCCAGCACATAGGACTTCTTTACCTATACGCGAACTGGAAGGGTCACCTGTACCTCCCGGAAATGCCGCAACTCAACAACATTACAGCCCTTCACTTCCATCAGTTCACGGTTACGAGGTCTCGCGAGGTCCTAGCTCCGGTGCTGGTGGCAGATACATGGAACAAAGTCCTGAGCGACCACAACGGCTTCGGTATGGACACGAAAGCGTAGAGGTACGTGACGGAGGTTCAGCCTATGCGGAGCCTCTGTACCAGCACCGATACGTCTATGATCGAGATGGAAGAAAGTATGAAGAGATACGAGAAATGGCCATGGAGAGATACCCAGACCAACACGACAGATTTTCAAAAGGTCATCAGGAGCCGTACGCACCGGCCGGGATGCACTATCTCGATGGAGGCTACTCTGTCCACCGGGCAGTTGGCCACGAGGAGTTGGGCCGCGCCATGCCCAGAGTATATCAAACCAACGGTATTGGGTATCGCTTTGAGCAGACTAGAGGACCAGCTTTCGACGACCGCTATCGTGGCGAGGAGCAGTTGGTCCCAGAGCATCGAACACGGACCTTGATATTCGACGATCGAGATGTCACTTACCACCCAATCGAGTCGCCAATGCGGGCGACAGCTCGGTCGTTGGGCAGGAGCCGCCCTGAAGACTGAAGTGGCTCTACTCCGCGAGTGGACGGTGGAAGGGCTCGATATCTGGGGGAATACAGGCAATGTGACCAGCTGGTGGTTATCTCGGTATTGGGGCTCAAGCGTGCGATGGTTACGAAACCAGTCCAGGGAGGGAATTTCTGTTGTTTCTGCTTTCAATGATACCCCTTTGCATCTTCTCCGTCGTTGGAATATTGCTATAACTGAGCACTATGCGTCTTCGCATGGGCATGACATAATATATCTACCCTATCCAAGACGAATTTCTTGCATGTTTTTGACTTGTAGAAGCCTAATTACTGTGGTGCTAAGTGCAACAGCCTCGTTCCTTAACCACCGAAGCCGGCCACTTCAACCTCTCGTGTTGTGTTGGCAATGACCAGGGACTATGGCCATGGCCAACATCAGCACGTGGGCACCAGATTAAGGTAGAAGTGGTTGTGATATTTTCTATTTTTTGGGAGCAGGCGCAGAGCCAGCAAGCGCGGCCATGGTGTGCACGCCATGCATCGGTGCCCAACGTGAGGCGGGGCCCCACTCCCACCATGTGACTGTCTGCTTAGCGGACGCTACATATGTGCCTCCATGCTCGGTCCGGGGGGCATATTTTCTGTGGCCGGTGATATCTCCCGCGTGCGAGACCTCGGTACAATCACACGAGGGCTGACAGAGCTCGGCTTGGTGCGTGTGGCACTTCTGCGTGGCTCCCTGTGGATGTTGTGTAGCACATTAATATTGGAGGCTTCCCTTCATTGTGTAGCGAGTAAAATATGTCGGGATCTCCCTCTGACAACGGTTTTAGTGCCCGGGAAGACAGGGCTGCAGCTACCCCGTCGCGCTTATGCACAGAGGGGCAGAAGAAAAATTTTGACGTTGGCTCAGTCCGGCCTGGCGGCCCAATACGGTGGCTGTCACTTCATGCACAAGTCAATGATTGGTAAGGCCGGTGCGTCATGTCCCCTTCATGTGATATGGTGCTTTCTCGCCGCTGGTTGGTGATTGTCACACTTCAGGGAAATTGAAGGCTTCTCCAACTTTGTATGATCTGAACACAGGACGCCGTGGTCGACTACGTCAAAGCCAGCACCCTGCCCAGAAATGAGATTACTGTGCTTTGCTCTCCAAAAAAGCCAGAGCCAACCGAGGCCGAAGGGAGATGGCGGTGGCTTCACCGCGACTTTGGGCTCGTCAGAAAGATTGACCACAGCCTCGGGCTTGACGTGACTGATTTCCCGGTTCAGCAAACGGTAGGGAGAAGGGTCGACCAAATCAAGGATTGAAATCGCATTAGCCGCCGGGAAAAGCCCAGGACGGCATCACGAAATGGACAGTAAAGCGGTGACCGTCTCAGCATCGGTCGGTGACTGGGGCTGTTCTGAGCCTGGAGCCAAAGCGATACGATACTGACTTCGGCAGTTCGGAACCGGATCCGACTCACGATTCGGATGAAGGCAATGCGTCAGAAGATGGCAGGCGCAGGGCAAGTACGAAGCGAGAGAGAACGCTGAAGCAAGGTGGCAGCTGAATATGTCATGTAGCTCGTAGGGCCAGCTCTACATGTAGCCACTGCATCCGGTGGAACGCTTCGGTAACGAGGCCGAAGATCAGCGGTTCACCGCCAACGGAAGCAGTAGTGACAAGCTGTACTGCGTAGCAAGAGGGACATTGTTGTCAAGGTCGACGTTGACGGCACGCAAGTTCGGTCAAAGGCAGTCCGAGCGCGCTGTGCGAGAACAGTAGGAAGTGCTTTGGCGGCGTTCACCGGCCCACGAAAGCCACCAGCGCTTAAACAGCTAAACCAATTTCAGGTTTTGGCAGGGTGCGTATCAGCCGCGGCGGCCGTCAGTGGCAGTGGCAGCCTGCGCCCTCACAGCCCTCCGGCAGCTCCCCCTCCAACGCACTCCACCTCCATCTCTCTATCCAAGCATCCATCCAACCAACTTCGGCTTCCCTTTTCATCCGCCAACTATCATCGTCTTTCTCACTCTACCCAACCTTGTTCATCCTCTTGTCGCGTTGGCATCTGCATCGCGTGCGCAACATCGTCTTACCATAGGATCAACAAAACACACCATCTTAAGGCGCGCCCAGGTGAATCGTCCGCGGGCATTTCGTAGCCCTTCCTCCAATAATCTGCCGCCCTCATCGGCAAAACATCAACAACCATTCGTCTCTCCCTCGTCTTCCGCCTTGCCTCGCGCGTTTGCATCCAAGTATGTACCTCTCATTTGCCTGTCCATTTCGTGCCGTTAGAGATTATCATCCTAGATCGCGATGCTAGTTTGCCGATACTAGTATCGCCAATGGCATCATTCCCAGCTGGCTGACCGCAAACCAGACCTGCATCTCATCTGCAGCTGTCCGTGCCCGCATCGCATCACTGCGCATTACTCTCGCGTGCCGCATCGCCTCGCCGCCGCCATCCTGCTGGCCGGTTGTCTCTCTAGCTGTGGTCCCGGTCAAGCTTCGACCTAGTCTACTGCCTTCCGAGTTCGTCATTCGTACCCGGTGTCCTGGTAGACCGCCTCATTCGACGCCCCTTCGCAGGGTACCGAGACAGGTGCAGGCCCGCCTGCACGACAACGCATCTACCCACTGTTCGCCCTCGGTGCCTGTCAGCCCTCAGAAAGCGCGCCGGGCGACCATCATTTTGGGCACGAACCGAAGCCGGCGAAGACGATCGTCTGACCTTGTTGCGCCGGGAGTGACGCAGGCCAGCATTAGGCTCTCTGCATCGGTGTCGCCCCAGTGTGTGACGTGGTCACGGCCCTCAACCAAGCAATTTTCGCCCTGCAATCCGGCCGCTGCGGCTATCCTTCAGACTACCGGACTACATCATGTCGGCCTCCCCACCCAAGGAACCCGATGTCGAACAGAACGCACAATCTGGTGAAGAGCAGGAGCATATGGACCGCGATCAAGAAGGAACACAAGGCACCGGCTTGGACTTTGAGGTCAAGGAGCAGGACCGATGGCTCCCCATAGCAAATGGTTGGTGCAATTTTCATTTTGTCCGTGTCTTCTGACGCCCATGTTCTGGCTGTGTCGTGGCCGGTGTCACCAGACGCGCAGTTTGGACCTTGGGGTTTTGATTTGTTCGACCCTTGCGTTACAAGCCATGCATCTTTGCGCGCGTCGGGAACATTGCAGTTCCCCTCTGTACGAATCCGAATGTGCGACGCTGCAGCAGCTCTTTAGCCAGCTTCGTCTCATTCGTCGTTGCTTCTCCTTCTCCTCAGCCATGGTTTGGGTCGCAGCTCTCCTACACGCTGACTGGTGCGGTAACTCGACCACTCACACAGCACTGTCAAAGTCTACTTGAAGCACACATCACCTCCATCATGCCTTCCACCAAGTCAGAACAGGAGCGCAAATCATCTTCATCGTCCAAGAAGCGTCATGGAGGTCGATCGTCGGATTCTGCAATCATGTCGTCCATGTCAGATGCTAACATACACAACTTTGCACCAGTGGCCCGGATCATGAAGACTGCCCTGCCCGACAACGCCAAAATCGCCAAAGAGGCCAAGGAGTGTATGCAGGAGTGCGTGAGCGAGTTCATCAGCTTCATCACCAGCGAAGGTCCGTTGTCCATCTCCCTCATCTCCACACAGGTGGGAATCATTGACTCACGTTGCACAGCATCCGAGAAATGTCAACAAGAGAAGCGCAAGACGGTAAACGGGGAGGATATTCTCTTCGCCATGACATCGCTTGGTTTCGAGAACTATGCGGAAGCCCTCAAGATCTACCTGTCCAAGTATCGCGAAGTAAGTTCGGTGTCCCTCCCCCGTCCCTACTTCTTCTCCTTTGTCCACTTGACGGGGAATTCATTCTGAACAATTGAACTGATTGGGATGAGACCCAATCCACAAGGGGCGAGAACCAGAACAGACCTACCAGCAGCGGCGGTTATGCCGGCGGCGGGAATGCCCAGGGCAATGCCGCGGCAGGCGGCGGTTACCCAGGCGGCCAACCCGACAATGCCAGCGAACTACTGAGCCAGAGCCATGGGCTGAATGCGAGCGACCACGACGCGACCGGCTCCTACGGCTATCCCAGCGCCGTGCCCACCGGCCACAACGGCATCACCGGCGACAACTTTTAAGACGCCCGGTGAGAAGGTGCGAGGGTGTGAAGGTAGCTTTGGGGCAACAGAGGACGAAAGTACACCGTCTGCCCATTCCTCGAGCACGGCCAATTGGATTGGTGGACTGGTGGGACGGAGAGCGGAAGGGGAAGCGGGAATAAGGAAGTCAAGCTTCACTCGTTAATATTTCTGTGACTGTACTTGCAGCACGAAGATCTGTATGGGAAGGAACCCACGGGCGGGCTGTCTGAACACGGGAGAATCGCGATGCATTGGGTTTAATCGAGACGGACCGTCCCGGGACAAGAGTGTTCGGTTGTCAGGAAGATGCGAAGAGAATGCAATTCCCCAGGGTTTGAGTAAGACAAAGTAGAGCAACGAAACACGAGAGCAGCAGTGAGGACGAACTCAGCCCGCAAGCAGAACTCCACAACCAGACAGTCTAATCTGTCGCAAAGATGACTCACCGAACAGGACTGTGAAGTGACCAGTGGACAAGCTGCGCCGAAGGCCCTTATCTTCCCAGGATGCTGCATAAGTACGCCCTTAACAAGACAGCTGCACAGCCCATGGCGGTCAGGTATGTACCCACGTACCTTCAAGCGAAACCGGAGGTAGTGACACGTGACAGAGCTCTCTCGGCATGGAATGTGATTGGCGGATCGGAGATGGCGCGCCGACGATAAGCAAGCAAGGGCGCGGTAATCAATCATCGAAGGGCGGAAACGCCGACGTCAACCGCTTCTTTCCTTCTCCTTCACCTTGCCCTCACCCCCTTGTCACAGGCCACAGTCACCAAGCTTCAAGTCACTCTTTGATTTACATAATACTCTCTGCGTCCATCCAGTCCCCGAATTCGTCGTATGTAATTCTTACAACGGGAACGTCACGAGGTTACTCCTACTTTGCCTCTCATTTACCATTCAACTGTCGCAAATTCTGCTTTGTCGAGACTGACTTGTGCTACTTGGTCTCCTGCCTGGCGTTTCGAAAAGCCTACTCGAGTGACCGCTTCCGAATCTAACCATCATGGCGCCCCATGCTGAGCCTGAGGCGCTCACAGACACATCATCTATTGTTCTGAATGACCCTGTCCTTAGCCAGGGCGAGACTCACCCGGTCTTTACACTCGACGATGTCTTGCCACACCGCCAGAAGTCGACCCCGCCCTCAAGAGGCGTCGCTGCCTTTTCAGAAGCAGACATGTTCAAGAGCAAAGGGGCACTCAAGAAGCCGAAGGCTAAGCGATGGGATCATCGCCTCTCCGCCGAGAGCAGCGCGAGGACGGCTTCCTCGTTAAAGGGAGCTATGAGGTACTTCAAGCCGGATACTATCAGTCTCTGTGGGGGATTGCCATCGAGGTCTGTCCCAACTCCCACTGTTGCTTTGAGGTCGCGCCTTTTCTGAACCATGCCCAGTGACTACTTCCCCTTTGAAGAGCTCAGTGCAAAGGTCCCTATCGCCCCCGAGTTCTCGGAGGAAGAAACGGCCAAATCTGGGAAGCACTTCTCGAGCGGCAAGTACGACGCAAGGGAAGGAAAATCATTCCTCGACCTCTCGATTGCCCTCAATTACGGTCAAGCCATGGGTCCGGGCGCGCTGGTTCGATTCGTCACCGAACATACCGAAATCGTTCACCATCCGCCATATTCGGATTGGGATGTTTGCCTGACGGCTGGCAGCACTTCCGCCCTGGAAATTGCTTTGCGAATGTTTACGGAGAAAGGGCATTATGTCATCACCGAAGAATATACCTTTAGCACTGCGATAGAGACAGTAAGTCCTCTGGGCTGCAAAATGCTGGGGATCAACATGGATGCCGATGGAATGCTGCCCGATCACTTGGACAATGTTTTGTCGACATGGGACGAATCTCTCAGGAAGGCGCCCAAACCATTCCTGGTGTACACTGTGCCCACTGGACAGAATCCAACAGCTAGCACCCAATCACTTGAGCGACGAAGGCAGCTATACGCGCTGGCGGAGAAGCACGACCTTTACATTCTCGAAGACGAGCCATACTATTTCCTTCAGATGGACGCTTATGTTTCGGGCCAGACGCACTCGGTCCCAACACCCTTCAAGCCCGTGGTGGTGGCGGACTTCCTGGGAAATCTTGTCCCTTCGTACCTCTCTATTGATACTTCGGGTCGTGTCCTGCGACTCGACTCGTTCTCCAAGATTATCGCTCCAGGCTCCCGCTGCGGCTGGGTTACTGGCTCCAAGCAGATCATCGAGCGCTTCATGCGTCACAATGAAGTCAGCGCACAGAATCCTGCGGGCTTCGCAATGATCCATCTGTACAATCTACTAGAAGAGAACTGGGGCCACAAAGGCTTCCTGGAGTGGCTGATGTATATCCGCGCGGAATATACTCGGCGGAGGGATATCATCGTCAACGCATGCGAACAACATCTGCCAACGGAAGTATGCAGTTGGGTGGCTCCCAGAGCGGGTATGTTCCATTGGATCAAGGTCGACATGACAAAACACCCTCTGTACGAATCTAGACGCAAGCCCGATGGAAGTGTCGATCATTCCACATTACTCGAGATTGAGGAGGCCATATTCCTTGCCGCGGCCGAACAGTCGGTATTGATTGCCCGAGGATCATGGTTTAGGGCCCAGAGAGGCAGCGATACCGAATTGTTTTTCCGCACAACTTTCGCTGCAGCTCCGGCCGAGAAAATGGTCGAGGCTGTCAAGAGAGTTGGTACGGCAATTAGGAAACAATTCCACTTGGAAGCAGCTCCTGGGACGAGCCAGAACGGGCATACGAAATGAATTGAGAGTCAACACAGGCCTCGAGCTCAAGTGTCATTGCACTGAAGACTCAGTAAGTAGTGCAAGGCGATAATTAACTTCCGGTCCATCCGAGTGTGGCCGACACGAGAGCTTCTCCACGACATTCTCGGCGGAATCTGCTAGCTCTGGAGAAGTACCCGCCGTAATTTGTCTCTTGGAGCGATATCTCGCCTCGTTACACTTGGCTGTGTTTGTTAGCCAGCCGAAGTGCCTACGCAGCAGGCTTCCTGCGTCTCAAGCACAAGCCCACAATCCATGGCACGCACGCAGCACTGGTCAATGCTCGCCGAGAAATCTATACGCGCGTGCTCCTGCAAGTCAAGATCAAGAAAGAAAATGAATGGCATTCGAGCGTCCGGATGGCAAGGGTGAAACGATGGAGTCATGCGACGGCAGAGAGCACTTTAGTCAGGCATCGCCAGCAATCGACACACAAGGATTCAATTCTCCGGTTGGAGAAGAATGGGTCAGGGAATCGAGAATAGATAATAGAGGAATAGAGAATATAGGATACGTACGCAGTGCGCAGAGCGAGTACTCTTAGGGGAGCACCCTCTACGTCAAAGTCCGTACTGTCTGTGTCTGTGTACGAGTAGAATCAAGCGCCGTCCGTCCGTCTGTTTGTCTGTCCGTCCGCCCGTCCAGGGCCTTTAGTCGGTCAGACAATCAGTTAGGTTGCAAGACAGTGTATATTTGTTGGATATTTCCTTCCTCCTCCCAGTAGCCAGTAGAAAGTAGGCGGTAGACAGTAGAAAGGAGGCAGTAGGCAAGACAGTGCTACAAAGTCTCCTCAGCATCTACTGTAGTACCACTAGGACACTAACGCAGCACACAGATGAACAGGTACACAGATGAACAGGTACACAGATGAACAGGTACACAGATGAACAGGTACACAGATGAACAGGTACACAGATGAACA